GGATAACTTATACCACACATTTTTGGTGACTATGGTAATGAAACAATTTAGATATCAAAGCTTGCTGCACATAACAATCAGCTTAACCTACCTGCAACTCTCATTCTACCTGAGGTCAACATGATTACTGCAAACAAGGATATAGTTTACATCCTAATATTATTAAAAAATTAAATAAATACATTACTGAGATGCATTTTCTCTAAAGTTTGTTATTCCTCATGTCCAGAGACAGCAGCTCCTTTTGTCCAGTAAGTCACGTGTTATTCTATGTATTTATTCTAGCCTGGGACACTGTCGAGGCTTTGCAGAACCCTGTATGTGGACTAATAGCATAACTTCAATTAAGCAAGAAGTTTTACTGTGCTCAGCAGGAGTACTAAATGGAGTACAGATTGTAGAATAAAGCCTACTGCACCCATTTTAAATTTAAAAGCTTTACTCCCCTCTGTCCACAGAAAGCAGTTTGTGACTATCATTAGATGCATGTGTTGCAAGAATTGTGATTCAGCTTCACTATATAAGGATCATATTTCATCAGTTGCTTCATTTGAAATGAGACTGGCTTGGAGACAATTTTGAGGTTTTGTGTGGCAACAGCGGAAAGGCAAGATAAATATACAGGAAACATAAGAATAGGGGAATTTTTATCACTTCACAGAAAATAAGACTTGTTCAGTTGAGGAAACCATCTTCCAGATTGCTTTATGGAAGAAAACAGTGGTAAATGCCACCTGCAAAGCCTCACAGCAGTAATGAACATCTTATAAATACCAACACAGAACTTTCACTGCAGAAAATTTAAAACAGAGGCTGTGACAAATCAAAATTTTACTCAGTATTATGAGAAATTACACTATGAAGAGTGCACGGTCTTCATACTGTAATGTTTTGCAACTTACATTGCCTTTATTATAAAGATTCTTTTGTTCTGCACTTCAACATCTGGTCTAATGTACTTTATTCCACTGTGCTTTTGGAAAATATGTTGTGGTCGCTGACCATGTTTAATACATTGCTAAAATATGTCACATGCACAGAGTAGTACTTGCCTACAGTGCTATCCACCTCTAATGGCCAAATCTGCTTGGATCCTTACTCTTAGAGAAATTAATAACATCTCTAGTGTACGGGAAATTCCTATCGCTTTTTGTAAAAAAATACAAAAGCTGAATTTTTCATTCAGCTTTGATAACCATAACTACCCTTTGAGGAACTGCCACACAAGGTCATAACAACTCTACATCCATAGGCTTGTTACAAATTAGCTCTGTGAATGGGACTTCCCACAGGTCAGATAGCTCCTTCTGGACTTTGGCATAACAACTTAATTTCCCTTAGCTACCAGCACAGGATTGCCTGCAAAACAAAAGTTGCTAGGGAATATACTGTTTTTAACCACTGACCTTCTTTAACCACCTGGGTCACTTGATACTAAGAAAAGGTTCTGAGATGGCTCCCCAGAAAATGCAAGGTAAAGTCCTTAAATCTAAGACAACCTGCCTTGGTGCCTTTATCTGAATGCCTCCAAGTAAATTTGCTGACTTTGATGGCATTGTGCTGGGAAACACAAACCTGCCTATAGAAGGGGACCATCACTGTACAGCTGCCCTGTTGCTAAAGTATGTGCCTATCAGGCAAGAATTTGTGAGCGTGAAATCTTGTCTTTGAACCTGGAATCAACATTTCTGACACTGACACCTTCTGCAGCAGTAGAATTCTTGTTGTATTGTGGAAAAAAAGCCTAGGACAACACAAGGAAGACAGCGTGGCACTCAACTCACCCCATGTGTAAAAAATGCCCACCCTTCATTTGAATCTGATCACTTTGGTCAGATCAGTGTTAAAACCATAGTTAAAATCCAACTACATTCTAGAAACAGTGGAAAAAGAGACAGAAAGGTCTGGTAAAACATCCTGGTAAAACAATTTCAGTTACACGTAACACAAGAATCTATCTGTATTTGCCTCTGTTCTCCTTGACCACTGAGATTTGTCAATACCTTAAAACTTGTAAATAAGCCTGTTTGCAGCTTACAAGCACAACAATAGCCAGTCCCCAAGAACATGGAAAGTCTCCACTTCCTGAAGTTACCTCCAGTTAAAATAACTTCCCCATCTGTGAAAATAGGTTTGAACAATCCCAAGTCACAGATCCAAAAATATGATTAAAATAAAAGGCACGATTTATAGTGCATGTTACAGCTATCAGATTTAAGAGGTCCACATCCTTCTATGTCAATACCCACCCGTATTTTTTCTAAACTTGCATAGGCCAAATCTTTGAACTTGATTTTACAGAATAAAAGTCCAGATGAAGCATGGATACCTGAAACGCTTATGTGAACAGGTACAGGATCTTCCTCGCATCACAACTCTTTGCAGAAATGTCCGTCTGGTTTACCCTCATTTAGTACTGATACATGCCGAAGGGACTTTAGCTAAGACTGGAGGACCAGCCTAGAAAAATTGGTGAATTTTGCTAAATAACTATGTGATTGCCCCAGCTGGTCACCACTCCCAACAAGTTGGGCATTACAGCACAGATCCAGCACCCCCAAAGCCTGACAGTGTTCCCATGGTTAGCTAGGCCTCTGAGATAAAAGGAAAGGTTTATGGACTTCTCAGACTGACACTCATTTTATAAATTTGTTTCCCAAGGCAGCAATAGTCTGTACTGATAGGATGGTGAAATTATTCAGAAGTTGTGCATTTGACAAGTCTCTGCACGAAGCATATATGAACGTTTCCCGCTAACCACTTAATGCAAATGCAAATACATACAGACTTCCACCACTGTTTGTTAAAGAGTATTCAGCAATATACTGCGCATTTCTTGTCTCCCGTGTTGAAACTTGAAATATTTTATGCTAAAAGCTACTTTTTAAGCGTGGATTAGGGAAAATACAGCCACTGATAGCTTCCAGGTCCAGGCTTACTACAGACCCATTCACCGTTCAACTATATACAGAGTATGTTATATTACTGACATTTCTACAAATCAGGATTACAGCCATTCACTGCATTAATACGAACTGTCTATAATCCAACTAAGCACAATGGATACGGCACCTTTCATGAGCTTTCATTTTTCCTCTGTTTCAGCTACAGCCTTTTTAATGGAGATACTTGCAGCTTCAGTATTTTGCTAAAAGAAGAGCGACAAACAGGCAGCTCACTATTTCTGACCACAAGTGAGAAGAAATCCTGTCCTCTCAAGCTGTCTCAAACAAGACTCACTAGAAAATATCAACACGAGAATTACACAACTGGTCAAGCAACCTGTCCATCCCATACTCTCATGACTAAATTTCATGTGCTCTAGGTTAAAAGGTTAGCAGGTCCTGCTAAATTAAGAGATGTGTCTGCTATGAGGATGAGAAATCTTTAAGCAAGCAATGGTGGCTCCAGGCTGGTAAATAATCTTCAATTGTACTCCAAGCATAGGAGGCAGAACTCCCTACCAGACAGGCCATCATACATGAAGGAGAATTCAAGACAGTCTTTGATGCTGGTGAACCAGAAAACTGAATATCAGTTAGTAAGAAAACTGTATTTGTTCCACAACTCCTTTTACCAACTACCACTAAGACAATCTATAAATTAAAAAGTTACATTCCCTGAAAATTAAGCAGGTATTCTATAAAACAGATCAGAGGAAAACCTAATTAATTTTCACAGTGTACCATGACTAATCTTGGCATATATGGTACTGGAATAGCAATCACCAAGTACAAATGAAAACAGTGTTGAACTCTGTCCTATTTTTAATCTGATGAAAGCCACAAACCTACCCATGCTGCTGCTTAGCGTTGCATTTTCTTCTACCCTGATAGCTTTTACAGCTGGAGAAATAGCTACTTACAGCACTATTCTGCTGTAAAAAAATTACTGCTGCTTACAGCTACTGGGATTATAGTTGAGTATGTCACAGAAAAGGAGGTCCAGTGAAGGCAAGCTAAGAACATTTCCTTGGTACGTTTAACCCTTTCCAACAGGTATCAGTTCCTCTGAAGATGTGCTCTAAAATTCCTGACCACTGTTTACGTGGTATTAAACTGTATTTGCAAGGTTATGAAGCAAGCCAGTGGCAGAGAAGGAAACAGAACTCTGAAGACTAATTCCAAATAAAAAAATAATTTATATGGTCCAAGACAGTATTTTTAATAACATTTGAAGGTAATATACTGGTGCTGCTAATGTGATGGTATATTTCCCTGCATTAGTTCTGCCATACAGAGGTATTTTTATTAACACCACAAAGACTTCACAAAAGTTGTCTACACAAATAGCAGTTCAAAGACTTTTCTCATTTAACAGTGCTTTTTGTATGCATTAAACAAAATACTGTTAGTCACATTTCAACCTAGACATTTTAGTATTTGTAATCATAGCCTGAAGTGTGGAATTGGAATTCATACTTAACTCAAATTTGCTAAGCCCAGTTTTTAGCCAGGTCAACATGCAATATAGCATTACAAAAATAAGACTTATTTTGTAACAATATTCAGGGTGCACACGTGTGCTGAGAAAGGTGAGAGCTCTCTCCCCTATCCTCCACTCCTCTTCCCTCAGCTTCTCGCTTACACATTCTTATGAACCAAGAGAAAGGTGGAAGTAGAAGCCTAACTACTGTGTTAAATGCCTTCCCTCCTCCCCAGTAAAGCAACACTCATCACCATTTGCTTCATCGAAGAAATAACCTGCTACTACAAGGATGAGAGATGGAGTGTCAGAGATATTCACTCTTTGAGAACAGAATCTTTCATGAGAGCTCAACTGGTATTTCAATTCATAAGGAACTTTCCTGCTGATTTCTCAACAGGAGAATAAGCATGGTGTGTGTGTCTCACTGACACACTAATACTTCCTATAAAAACCCTTCTATGACTTCCTTAAGCAAACTTCCAGTCTCGAATCACAATTAAAACAACAAGAATCACCATAAAGAGATATGAGTTCTTCCCCCATTGGAAGTACACAGGCAGAAAAGGACACACCTTTGGAGTGTTTCCCCGAAGGCCTCTTGGGTAATGACTCCTCAATGGAATGTGTTGATGTATGTAGTACATTTTCCAAACTGTTACTGACACTGTTGATGGGGGTCTCGGATCTTGGAGTGACCTGGAAAGAAAAACCACAAAAAATCCAATAAAATAAACTCAGGGAATGTGCAAACATCACACCTTCCTGAGGAGCAAGCAGAACCACGTTGAAGGCAGGCAGGAGACGTTTACTTCTTTTAAAACCAAGGGGTGTTACTACCGATATTCCACAAGTAACAGTTCAGGGAAATTGCTTCAGTCAGCAGCTAGTCACAAATCTAGATTATCTTGGCTAATCTATAAAGCTACTTAAAGTATAATTCTTTTATAAACAATAGTCACACAGCAGTCAATTGTAAAGATATTGCAAGACCCTTAACCTCTCCATACTGCAGTTCTTAACTTTTCAACATGAAAACTAGGGGAAAAGTACTCTTGAAAAAATATCATGTTTATGTCACCTATCTACACAGATGCAGACTCAAGGCATTTCAAAGTATTTCCACACAGATTACAATGAATTAATTCCAATTTAGCAAAAAAACTAATTTTCTTGTCTTTGCCATTTAAAAGCCTGCTATCATGATCATATTTCAATGAAAAATTGCACACTAAAAATGCCTGAGCAGAAGGCTGCCTCATCAAAACAGACTTCATGGCCTAATATGTACCTTCTAAACTGCATTTAGCGTAAGAAAACATATTTTCACCATTACTTAAAACTACAGAAACAAACATAAGTCATTAGAAAAGGCAGAATTGAACACTACCCACTTCAGATGCTGTCCACAAGAGTATTCACAATTATGTAGCAACACATAAAAACATCTATTACTTGTAGTGTAACATTCAATGCTTGCCTCTTAAGCAAGGCAATTACTCTCTTGTTTTCTAGGTAATGAGAAGCAGAAGTGGATGAACAGTTACATTAGCAATACTGAACACAAGGGTTTAAATATCTTAAGGAGGAAAGTGTGCTTTAAAGAGGTAGTTAAGACTAACAAAAGCACTCATACTAACTAATGCATTACTTGCATTTCAACTGCCACATTTTGAATAACTAAATCCTGGTATGGAGACCTGTAATTAGAATTTAATAAGTACTTTAGCCTTTCACAAATCACAGGAGAAAACGTGCATCAACATAACAAAAGAAGCTATCCTTTATTCATGGTAACCAATACCAGCGACTACAGGTCCTTGTAGGGAAAAAGGCTCACTCAGACCCTGATTACTTGAGACAGTGCCATGAGTTAGGACAATTTATGCTTAAAACAATACTTTGCTAACCCTACCATTAGCCTTACATATTGACATCAATTGGAATACACAATCCAAGTCAAAAATAACACATCCCCGGCTCTATACAATCACCTATTGTAAACTCCATTGTTTATAGATTTATATGGAGCTAAAACCAGTAGCACAAGTGAAAGACTTGGCATACTTGACTTCCATTTAAAAAAGCTTATATGCGCAAAGAAATCAATCCAGACAGACAGATAAGTGTCACAGAAAGCAGGATTACAAGTACCTGCTTTCCTTTTCAGCACTGTTAGTCTACCTTTTGATCAAAAACTAAAGCGTACTTATAGGCTTGTTTAGCACAGCTTTCCACCAGTCACAAAAACTTTGATACTAAGTTTCACATTAGAAAGACTAGCCATTAAGCTTTAAGCTTGGGGGGAATAGTTTAAAATCTCCTTGCCAGAGTCAGTCTTTACCAAGGCTTATCTCACATGTCTCTCCTGGAGCTCATTAAAACTCTCACTCCAGCGGCTTACCGCTGAGAGGAAGTTCCACCGGTCTGAGCAATGACACCACCATCCTGCTGGCAATGGGAGATTTCAGAAGAGCAACTGAGTAAGAGAGCAAGCTAGAAAATCAGATTCGGGCAAGACTACACTGTCCTCAACAACCAGGTTCCCAATACTCAGAACCACCAGCAAATATAAACCCGTACAGTACTTGACACTGAGTAAGAACACAGCCACATGGTTTCACAGAAATCTCTAAACAAGCAGTTTGTTACAATATATTGCCTCCTATCTTGTATTCCCTTCTCTCCACTACCCTTACAATAAGCATCGCGTGCAGTTTAAAATTTGCATTTTGTTTATACATAACCTCCAATTCTTTCCATAAAGATTTAATTTTTATATACTTGGTAAAGATTAATTTAGCCCATATGTCTTGACTGGCTGAGCTCATATACTATCTGATTCAGTCACACATCAAAGCAAAGCAGTTTCAAATTGGCCTAGAAAAATCACAAAGCTCTGATTAGTTCCAAATGGAGCACTTTGTTAGTGAGCTGAATGGTGTTATAACCAATGAATCTGACTGCTTAAAGCTTTCATTCCAAATTTCAAATAATTTTTTCCACTGACTTAAACATACCAATACTGCAAAGGTTTGGAATTGTTTAGGAAAAGTAAAATAATGAAAAATGTTTTGAAAAATCAAAGTTTTATTTCCAAAATAGTAACAGGCTTTAAAAAAAAAAAAAACTTGGGGCCAAGAAAAACAGAGGAACAATGATGCTTCAGCTATGAACTGCAGATCATCCTGTCCTGGGAGGGTTGGAAGAAACACTGGCAAAAGCTTAACAGTAGATGCCCAGGAAGGACTTGTCCAAATTCAACTGCAGAAACTCAGCGTCAGGTAAATTCTGGGAGGAAAGTTCACCATATCTAAACACTACTGTAATCAATCCTTAGTTTGGGCTCAGCACAACCAACTACATGTAAGCAGTCACAAGATGCTGAATAAAACAGGACATTCCAGTGAGAAAGATTCTAAGAAGCAGTAAACAAATTGCTTTGGACCTTTTAGGATCTGTAACATCTCTGAAGAAAGCCAAGATGTCATTAAAGAATAAGCATCTGCTGTTCAAGAACTGTTAAAGGCTTGTTTTCGAAAGCAGTAACAATCCACAGTAAAGGTGGATAAGCTGGCGTCACAGAAACCAGAAATGTTCAGACTATGTAACATAATGAACCAAAGGAGTGACATTTTATAAATGCAGAAAAACTCATGAATCATTCAAGGTCTAAGAAGGTACAGCATCAGACGTTTGCATAGAAGACTCTGGATTTTTCAACTGAAATTATTTGAAAACATCAGCAGAAACAGTCCATGAAGACTAATTGAATACAACAGCAACCCCAGAGAGTTAAAGCAACAGAAATGTACTTCACTATGCATTAGGCATTTTGTAGAGGGCCGGGGCAAAGGAAAGCCCCCTGTTGCACCTATCCATAGTTTCATTAGATTATTCAAATTGTTTTAACATCAGAATGGCCTGTAGGTTTATTCAATGGCTCTAGAAGATGCACCACTCAAGTGGGTGCAGACGAGATTCTTACAACTCTTTGTACTTAACTCTAATGTTGCATCTACTCCCTCCACAGCAAAGCATCTGGCTCAGATGAACTCCTGATTTTCCAGATTAAAGCCTAGCTTGTCTCAAACTTCAAGTGAAAGTAGTAGCCATAAATGAAAATAACAAAGAAAATTCATCACTACCTAACGACTAACGGAGGCTCAGCCTGAATTCTTCTGTGTCTCATTCTTCACAGTAATAAAGACGATATCAAAACTGGTATTGGCTACTGAAACGCAAATCCTTCCCAACAAGGGCTAGACAGAAGGATCACAAAATGCCACCGTGAAGCCCTCTGCCCCCAGGAGTAAGCCAGGAAGAGAAACAATTGATTTGACTCAGGAATTGAGGACAAACATGTCAAGGTATCATAAGTCATTGCTAGAATTTTAGCCGTTATCACGTTCTTCACCTGCCAGCAAACAATAACATTTTTTCAGCAGAGTGCAGTGATTTTCTCAGCATCAGAGATATACCAGCAGGCATAGATCTTCTTGGGACAGAAAAAATAAATGTTCTAGAAAGCTCTGCAAAACGCCTGATCCATCAAAGCACACATAGAAGAGAGAGGAAAAAAAAAATAATAAATTGCACAATCATTGGGAGCAGTTACTTCAACAGGTAGTGTTACTCTTTCAGCCACTGCTACCTGAAATGGCTCTGACACTATCCAGACAGGGGAAGTCAATATGGAAAATTGTAAACCTGTGAAGCCAGATTCAGTTAGTGTTAGCTTTGCTCTCCAGGGACAATGCCTAACGTTTAATACAACAAAGTCTTGCAGAAAAATAACAGGACTGATAAAAGTCAAACTTAATGTGGTAAGATTTTTACCAAAACAGCAATTTTATGTTCCTTTTAAAAATAACTAAACAGAACACAGGAAATACATGGTTTAATAGCAAAGTATTTGCTGACTTAGTTTGAAGTGGAGCCAATACTAAAAAATCATCATAGCTTACCACCTAAATTGTAACATGACTTATAATTTAAGAGAACAATGATATAGGATCCAAGGGAATAAAATACTGATTTCTATACCTAGTTAGCTATGAAATTTAGGTCATGTATTACATAGGAAAAATGAACAAAATATAAAAGCAGTGAGTCAGTTAAATGAGATACTAGGGCTGCAGCTAAAAGCCACATAACCACATTGTCCCATTGATCACACAGGAAAACTTTTTCACATGATGTTCAGTTTTCAAAAATGGCCAATGACATACTGGGAAAGTCCCACAGATAAACACTTCTGCCAATGCATGCTTTGGAAGTCTCCATTAAAAAAAAGGTTTTTCATAATCATAAACTGACCTCCGTGCTTCAGGCTGATGCAGATAATATGCAAGAGTGCACACAGGAATTAGAGTACTGAAGTCCTGGAGGGGGGGAACCAAAACAGCCAACTCATTCACTTCTGCCAGATTCATATTAGCAAGTATTAACAGCAGCTTATTTTGAGGTTAACACCAAGGTCTTTAACAAAGTGCAATCCTGTTTGCAAAAATGCTCCAACAGAAGCTTGATGGCAAGGATACAATCCTTGCATGCTTAGGCAGATAAGGTGCTATTTCCCAACACAGGGACATAACTCAGGTTCCTAAATAATCTGAAAAAAATGCACTGCTAACACTCAGATGTCAGTCTACCAATGCATGAGATTGATTGCTCTTGTTTCTGGCTCAGACTTAGCC